CATCATCTAAATACTGCTTCAGTAGATTAAAGAATAAATCTTTGTTGTTATTTTAGCTAGAAGATGTTTGGAGACTGGTCAGAAAGAGCAGCCATGAATCAGATATATGGCAAAGAAAATAAAGTGATTAATCCAAGCACCCGAAAAAGAAGTTTTGTGAAGAGGATTGACTTACTGCCCAACAGACTAAAATGTATTTTTGATGTTTATCTACCTTGAACAAGTATTTGTATCTACAGTTGAAGGACACCAATGACCTTACAGATAGCTAATGTCTGCTACTAAGATCCAAGCAAGTAGCAAGGAGATCCCCCACAAGAAAGTACAGTAATTTATGGGAGCTTCATTAAATGATGAAAACTGACACTTATCGATGAACATTTTATTACAAGGAGCTTTTCAGACATGATTTTTTTTTCCCCAGAAACTTGGAATTCCGCATTTTTTAATTCAATTCAAGTTGTCCCGGACCTCTGGTCGCTAAGGTGTTGAGTCCCATGATAAATGTTCGGAGTTCTCTTTTTTTTAAACCTAGGATCATGTCTGCTTTTTTCTGTTTCATTTTACTAAAGATATCCGTGAATGCCACCTTTAAATGGGATAAGATCTTACTGAGATATTGATATTGAATATCATATTTTTATTCCTTGGAGCAAAAGATCAGTTTGACTTATATCTCTGAAAGCAGCAATATATGTTCCTGGTCCTGAGTAGTGCAAAATAATCCATGAATTACACCATTACATAAGTTCAACTTATTTATTCATTCTTCTCAGGAAGGGGATTCAGTTGGATAGCATAGATTTGCATTACTTTGATGTTTTTGTAGAATGAAAATTAAGTGTACTTTTTTTTTGAATCATTCACTTACATCTCGAGTGTCAAAACTTTGTCGGTGTCTTATTCAGTTAAGGGTGACAGGAGTAGTCTTGAATGGCAGTTACAATTATGCCTTCCATCCATTTATTATTTTCCAGTTTGAAGATTTGAATTGTTTGCTACACTTCCAAATAATTTGCTTATTTATACTTAAACTTTAAAGATCCAATAAAGAGATGATTATGCATTATGAAAAATTGTTGATTGATTAAAAGCTGTGTGTGTGATTGGTGCCCACTTGTGTCCAATAATTGTTAAAGTAGTAGATCAAAAGAAATGTTAAAGGAATACAGTTTTCTTTATATGATTAAATGTAAGAAAATGTGGGTTGTTTGTCGTTTTATTTTCTGAATATTTAAATTTATTAGACTAAAAATATTTTTAATTAATTTTGTAAGCTATAGTATTACAGGGAATACCATTCCCAGGTGTACAATCGAGATGGAAGCTATTGAGCAAAGGGTAAAAACTTGAGGCCAAGTAGCAGGTTGAAAAGGGTTTATGTCTTGACCAAAGCTACATAAATTTCGATCACAAGTCATCAAAATATGAATATGACGGTTTAAATCCCAAAGGTAGGCTCTGTTATAGGGCAATTGCCTATTCTTGTAAAGTCTATTGTTCACTTCTGCCGTGATTAGAGTAATTGAGCAGGTATTACTGGCCAAGACAAGAGCAACACCCATCCAAATTTTACAATTTT